GAAAATGCGAAGCTGTAGAAAAAGCTGCACTTTTAGAACTAAACTAAAGGTCTCCCTAAATTCCAAGCTGCAGACACACAAAATGAAACAATAAGACGAAAACCAAGGCCAGTCACATCCTGAAGTTTCTCAAAGCTGAGATTAAAGGGAAAGTCCAACCTGTTTCCAAACACAGAGAAAGAAGATTAATCAGACTCTTGAAAGTCCTCATCTACAACAGTGGAAATGATCAGGCTGTGAAACAATGATGCCAGATATTCCAAGAAATGACTACATTCCAAGAATCTGACATCCAGCCAAGTTATCATCCGTGGGTATAGATTCTTTTTCTGGTCATTCAACAACTCATAAATATAGCAATGTCTTCCAGAAAGTAGTAAGTACTTCAACCAGATTAAATTTAAATTCAAAAGTGCAGATTTCAAGCTAAGATAAGAGGAAGAGTACAAAAACCTTTGGGAACATGAACATTTACAGTTAAATCTAAAGCCAGGGATGGTGACGTGATGGGGATGGTAACATCAGTGTAAAGTAGTAAGAAAGACGAGAGGGGGGCTAGCTCTGTGGCACAGCAGGTTAAAGCCCTGGCCTGTGGTGCAGAATCCCATATGGGCATCAGTTCGGGTCCTGCCTGCTCCACTTCTGATCCAGCATTACTGCTAATGCACTTGGGGAAGTAGTGGAAGATGGCCCAAGTGCTTGGACCCCTGCACCCATGTGGGAGACCTAGAAAAAGCTCCTGGCTCCTGCCTTCAGCCTGAACCAGCCCGGGGTCATTGCAGCCATCTAGGGAATGAAGCAGTGGATACAAGATCTCCTTCCTTCTCTGTCTCTGCCTTTCTGTAACTCTGTCTTTCAAATAAGTAAGATAAATCTTATAAACAAGATGAAGAAAGACGAGAGGGAATGGAATCTCTTACCTGAGGCTTACATAGAGAAGTACCAACACAAGTTTCACATAGCACATTACTGAGTAGAGAAATACAGGCTTAAGTTTCTTCGCAAAAATTAAATTTTAATATTATAAAATTCTGCTACCAAATGACTTAAGTACAAAACAAAACAATTAAATATGTACATGTATGTATAATTGACAGGTTATTCAGCAAAATATTAACAGTGAATAGTGGAGGGGCAGCTCTGTGGCACAGGTTAAAGCCCTGGCCTGCAGTGCTGGCATCCCACATGGGCTCCGGTTCTAGTCCAGGCTGCTCCACTTCCCATCCAGCTCTCTGCTATGGCCTGGGAAAGCAGCAGAAGATGGCCCAAGTCCTGGGGCCCCTGCACCCATGGGGGAGACCCAGAAGTTCCAGGTCCCTGGCTTCTGATCAGTTTAACTCTGGCCATTGCAGTCATTTGGGGAGTGATTCTGCAGATGGAACACCTCTCTGTCTCTCTCTGGCTCTACCTCTCTCTGTAAGTCTGTCTTTCAAATAAATAAAATAAATCTTAAAAAAAAAAGTAAATAGTGGGATTATGGGTAACTCGGTTCTCCTTTTTCATTTGTGAAAATAATGGAACTAGGGCAGGCATTGTGGCAAAGAGGGTTAGGCCACCTCTTGAAGTGTCAGTTTGAGTCCTGTCTACTCTGCTTCCAATCCAGCTTCTTGCTAATGCATCCCCCAAGGTAACAGATAGTGGCCCAAATTCCTGGGCCCCTGCTATCCAAGTGGGAGACCTGATAGAGCTCCAGGTTCCTGGCTTTGGCCTGCCCAGCTCTGGCTATTGTGGGCACGTGGAATGTGAACTAGCCAATGGAAGATGTCTCTAGACTTCCCTTCCTGTCTCTGCTGCCTGCCATTCAAGTGGATGAAAACAAATATTAAAAAATAATGTTGGGGCCGGCGCTGTGGCTCACTTGGTTAATTGTACACCTGCAGTGCCGGCATCCCATATGGGTGCCAGGTTCTAGTCCCGGCTGCTTCTCTTCCAGTCCAGCTGTCTGCTGTGGTCCGGGAAGGCAGTGGAGGATGGCCTAAGTCCTTGGGCCCTGCACCTGCATGAGAGACCAGGAGGAAGCATCTGGCTCCTGGCTTCGGATTGGCGCAGTGTGCCAGCCGTAGTGGCCATTTGAGGGGTGAACCAACGGAAGGAAGACCTTTCTCTCTGTCTCTCTCTCTCTCTCATTGTCTAACTCTATCTGTTAAATAAAAAAAAAAACTCAATACATCTATGGCAGGCTAATTTAAAAAAAATAATGTAGAATGTGTAAAAGCAAAACTAAAAAAACTAATGGAACAATGAAATTCCACATATGGAAGTAATGAAAAGTCTCATCCCCTCGGATACCAGGGGACCTGGTTTTGTCTGCATCTTGGGGACCGCTTCCCATACTCCTGAAAATTGAGCCATCTGGTTGGGTGGCTGGGGCAGATCCAGAGCCACCAGACCCCTCTGTCGTGGGGGTTGGGCAGGGGCACACACATTCAGAGCTCAGCAGCCTTCCTCTTCCATCGGAAGGAGCGGAAGCCATCTTGGTCTGTCTGGGGAAGCAGCCACTCCGGGTCAGTCAGCGAGGAGAGCGAGCGGACCACACAGACAGCGGAGGAGCAGAGGGGGCAGTGACGAGTGTGAGCCCTCCCTCCCCGCCAGCCGCTTCCCTGCATTCCTGTTGTCCGAGTCAGTACACTTCTCTTCCCCCTGACGCTAACTGGGATGGTGTCTACCACTGCTGGCTAAGAGTCCTAGCTGAGGCCATGTCCCAGCCATGACAGACTGGGCCGTATTTTCTGTCTTGGCCTGTCTGGGCTTACTTTGGCAACAATGCTTTCCCCTGTCCATAGGATAAGATTTTTGCCCAGGACAAGCTTTTCTAGGAGAGCAACCAGGTGTTCTCACTTTCCTTGTGGGGGAGGGGAGCCTTTGGGATTCCCCCTCCGTACCATTGTCAGGTGGTTTTTCTTTTCTGTCCTTGGGTTGTCGCCCCTTCTCAGGAAAGCGCTCCCGCCCCGCACTGGCCTCGTACCCTCACACTCCTGCTCCTACTCACTAAACCCCAGAACGCCCAACACCGATCTCACTCACGCTGCGCCTGCTTGCCGGGGGCTGACCCGTCACGTGCCATCTGGAGCACAACTTGTGCCGTGCCTTCTTCCTACTGCCCACCACTCCAGCCTAGGCTCCGACACCCACTTTCATGGTACCCTTGACTTCCGCAGGGGTCCCGACACGGGCTGACACAGGGAGCTGCACGTGGGCCACGGTGAGGGTCACAGCACGCTCTGTCCTCAGGGGAGCGGGGCTGCGCTGCCTGTGGCTCTGGCCCCGGTCTCCAGCGCAGCGGCTGACACACGGCTGGCCCTCACTGGTGCGTGGAGGGATGGGTGAGTGCCAGTCTGTCCAGCCGGTCACGCACGGGGCAGTTCCTGGAACACAGCGCACAGCCCTGCTTTCAGGAGGCCTGCCAAGGAGACACTGCAGGGATGAATGGCCTCTGCGCTGACTTCGGCATGATAATGAAGACATGGATCGGGAAGCGGGGTTTCCAGGAAAGCTGGAGTCTAAGAGCAAGAGGCTGGCGGGGGCCAGGGGCGGCTCTGGGTCCTAGCAGTCCCTGGCACACGCGTCCTCTGCAGAGAACGTTGCGGGCCACTGGGAAAGCAGCTGAGCGGGGAAATCCTGGCACAGCCACGCTCGTCCTGAACGGTGCCCGTCCACTTCAGGGGTTGTGTGACGCGCACAAAGCCTCAGAGTCATAGGAAATTCCTGAAGAAAGCGCTGGGCGCTCAGAGGAGGGAGGGGCGGGCTTTCGCTATGAGAACCACAGCTTTCAGGAGAATTTTGTGGCATTTTGGTGTCGTTTCTCACAGCATAATCACAGAACAAAGATCTGAGTGTGAATTGCACCTTGCCAGTTGCCACCCATGTGACCCAAATCAAGCTGCTTAACCTATCTGGGCCCCAGGGTGTTTTTAAAGATTTACTGGAGCCGGTGCTGTGGCATAGTAGGCTAAGCCTCCACCTGCAGTGCCAGCCTACCATACGGGCGCTGGTTTGAGTCTCGGCTGCTCCACTTCCAATCCAGCTCCTGGGAAAGCAGCAGCAGGTGGCCCAAGTGCTTGGGCCCCTGCACCCACATGGGAAACCCAGAAGAAGCTCCTGGCTCTTGGCTTCAGATAGGCCCAGCTCCAGTCATTGTGGTGATTCGGGGAGTGAACCAACAGACAGAAGACCTCTCTGTCTCCCTCTCTCTGTCTGTAACTCCACCTCTCAAATATTTAACAAAAACAAAAAGAAAAGATTTATTTATTTATTTGAGAAGCAGAATTACAGAGAGATAGACACACAGAGAGTGACAGAGTGACAGAGAGAGAGAGAGAGTCAGAGAGAGTTCTTCCATCTGCTGGCTCACTCCCCAATGACCTCAATAGATGGGGCCGGGCCAGGCTGAAGAATCTGGAATTCTATCCATGTGGGTGGCAGGAGCCTGAGCACCTGGACCACCCTCTGTTGTTTTCCCAGGCACGTTAGCAGGGAGCTGGACTGGAAGTGGAGAAGTCGGGCCGACCTAGCTGGGCCTCAATTGTTTTCTCCTGAACACGGGCAATAGCAGAACTGCAGGGTTACAATGGGCAGTGACCGTCAGTATCAATGTGACAGACAGCACGATGCCTGGCCCTTAATGAGCCCTCATACTTGTGAGCCCTGCTGCTGTCTCATTATTGCTGCTGGTGCCAGTGCTGCTACATCCCCCAGAACGGAGCACACAGCAAACGCCAATGGAGCGAAAGTGACACTGACATGGTAAACAATGCCGACTGCAGCCAGTCGGATCTGGAGGTGAAGAGGATCCCACGGGATGGGGTCAGGTGTCGGGGGGAGGCCAGGGGTCTCTGTCATGGGGTGGGTTGTCCTTGTGGGATTCCTGGCAGTGGTAGTTACTAGCCAGTTATGTGTACACTGAACCAACACACACCACGCCAGGGCCACCCAGCTGACTAGGAGGTCCTGGCTTGGACTCTGCAGAGGATCTAAACCAACCAACAAAGTCAGAAACCCACCTCTGGGCTGGCCTTGTGGTGCAGCTGGTTAAGTTGCCAGCCATGATGCCGGCATCCCAAGTGAGTGTCAGTTAAAGTCCCAGCAGCTCCACTTCTGATCCAGCTGCCTGCTAACGTGCCTGGGAAAACAACAGAAGGCGGCCTAAGTGCTTGGTCCCCTGTACTACGTGGGAGACCCGGATGGAGTTCCAAGTTCCTGGCTTTGGACTGGCCCAGCCCCAGCTGCTGTGGCTATTTGTAGAGTGAACCAGTGCATAGATCTGTCTCTCTCTTACTCTACCCCTTAGATGAATAGACAGATGTTTTCCAAAATTAAAAACAAAAAGAAAACCCCCTCTGTTTGCTGGCTCCCACAGGCACTCAGCGTCCGGCCCTGGCTGCTTTTCCGGATCGTTCTCTGGTCACTTCCCACACAGGAACCATCAGTGGCCTCCACGCCCAGCGGCTCACAGCCTCCACAGCTCCCCCACTCTGAGCTTCACAGGGTCCTTCCCTGGGAGCCAGCTTGCCCCTGCGGCCCGGGCTCATGGCACCGTCCCCTCCTCCCTATCCCATCCCCACCTGCACCAGCAACTCAGCGGCCACGTGCCTGTCCTTGTCCCACAGCCCAAGACCCCCACCCCAGCTTTTCCTATCCATTTACTACATTTTTTCCTGGGCAGGAAGCGACCAGGCTCTATTTTGAGTGGAGGACTGGGCAGCACCTCCCTGGGCCTAATGCTTCCTCCCCCGCCAAGAAACCGCACTCGGACAGTGCTCGGTCAGAGGCCTCTCAGTCTCTGCAAAGGCCTGCGGGGCTATTCAAGGGGCCCAGATCCTCCGAGCCTCCGAAAAGCCCATCTTATTTTCTCTTTCTTCCCAACCTCAGCTATTTATAGCTCTGCACACAATAGCTAACCTTGGAGAGCTGCACACTTGGACAGGCTGGGCCCATTGTCTCAGCACCGCCCACGTGCAGCCCGAGGCTACGGGCCCCAACTGGCAGCTGCCTGCAGGGAGGAGTCCAGAGCCAGGGAGAGGAAGCAGGCCCAGCCATTTGGGGCTCTGCAGGTCCCGGAGCCGTCACTTCCCGGCTGTGCAGCCATCCACAGACAGAAGCAGACCGTGGCCTCCTCAAGTGTGCTCACAGCTTAACTGAGGTCTCACTGTCACGTGGTAAACTGCATGATGCACTGGACATATTCTGCACCCCTGAAAACGTCACCACAATCAAGACAGTCAACACACGGAGCCCCCGCCCCTTTGGAATGCTACCTCACCCCGACTCTTGTCACCCCTTCTCCCGGGGTTCTGCATCTAGTTTTCCGCCAAAGAGACCAGTCTGCAGTTTTTAGAATGTGAAGTAACTTGAACCCTATTTTATATACTCTTCTGGCTCTGCTTCGGATTCTCTGCATAATTACCTTGAGATTTATCCACGCTAATACAACTATCAGTATTTTTTTTTTTAATTTATTTGACAGATAGAGTTAGACATTGAGAGAGAGAGAGACAGAGAGAAAGGTCTTCCTTCCGTTGTTTCACTCCCCAAATGGCTGCCACGGCTGGCACTGCACTGATCCGAAGCCAGGAGCCAGGTGCTTCCTCCTGGTCTCCCATGCTGGTGCAGGGCCCAAGCACTTGGGCCACCCTCCACTGCCTTCCCGGGCCACAGCAGAGAGCTGGACTGAAAGAGGAGCAACTGGGACTAGAACCCGGCGCCCATATGGGATACCAGCACCACAGGCAGAGGATTAACCAAGTGAGCCACAGCACCGGCCCCACAACTATCAGTATTTTGTTCCCTTTTATTGCTGAGTCATATTCCATTGGATGACAGAACACAGATTGCTTATTTGCTGGCCTGGTGATGGTCATTTGAGTTATTTGCAGGTTGTGGCTATAAAAATGAGGGTACTGGCTGGCGCCACAGCTCAATAGGCTAATCCTCCGCCTGTGGCGCTGGCACACCAGGTGCTAGTCCCGGTTGCTCCTCTTCCAGTCCAGCTCTCTGCTATGGCCCGGGAGTGCAGTGGAGGATGGCCCAAGTCCTTGGGCCCTGCACCTGCATGGGAGATCAGGAGAAGCACCTGGCTCCTGGCTTCAGATCGGCGCCGGCCACAGCGCGTTGGCCGCAGCGGCCATTGGAGGGTGAACCAACAGTAAAGGAAGACCTTTCTCTCTGTCTCTCTCACTGTCCACTCTGCCTGTCAAAAAAAAAAAAAAAAAGTGAGGGTACATGGGGCCAGTGCTGTGGCGTATCTGGTAAAGCCACGGCCTGCAGTGCCAGCATCCCATATGGGGAACAGTTCGAGTCCCCCGGCTGCTCCATTTCCCATCCAGCTCTCTGCTATGGCCTGGGAAAGCAGCAGCAGATGGCCCAAGTCCTTGGGCCCCTGCACCCGCATGGGAGACTCGGAAGAAGCTCCTGGCTTCAGGTCAGCACAGCTCTGGCCGTTGAGGCCAACTGGGGAGTGAACTAGCGGATGGGAGACCTCTCTCTCTCCCTTTGCCTCTCCTTCTCTGTGTGTAACTCTTTCAAGTAAATCAATAAATCTTTTATTAAAAAATGAGGGGACACGGAATATTCACACACAAGATTCGACTTATCTATGTGCTTTCAGTTCCTTTGGGTATTAGAATAGGTGTAGGGTTCACTTTTTAAGAAACTGCCTCACTCTCTCCCCCAAAGTGGTGGTACATTTCATATTCCCACCACAGCGCATGGAGGCTCCAGTTCTTTCCTCCCATCCTTGCCAACACTTCAGGTAGTCTGTCTTCTCTTTCTAATTGTTCTGATGCCTGTAATGCAGTGTTATCTTCTTGAGGTTTTAGCTTGCATTTCCCTGAAGACTACTCTGAGTTTTTTTTTTTTGTTTTTTGTTTGTTTGTTTTCTCATGCACTTCTTTTCCTATCCATTTACTATCTTTGGGGAAGCATCTATTCAAATATTTGTTTATATTTTTTAAAGATTTATTTATTTATTTCAAAGTCAGAGTTACAGACAGGAGAGGCAGAGAGAGAGGTCTTCCATCTGCTTATTCACTCCCCAGATGGCTGCAACGGTGGGAGCTGCGCCGATCCGAAGCCAGGAGCCAGGAGCCAGGAGCTTCTTCCAGGTCTCCCATGTGGGTGCAAGGGCCCAGGGACTTGGGCCATCTTCTACTGCTTTCCCAGGTCATAGCAGAGAGCTGGATGGGAAGTAGAGCAGCCGGGACTTGAACCAGAGCCCATGTGGGATGCCAGCACTGCAGGTGGGAGTCTTACCCAGTACCCCACAGCGCTGGCCCCAGCTTATTTTTTTAACTAATTGTTTTCTTACTATTGAGTTTTGAGAGGACTTTTCTGTGTACTTGCCCATTATCATGTATACCCTTTGCAAAGATTTCCTCTCCATCTGTGTTTTGTCTTTTCATTCTTCTAACATCACGTTTCAAAGAGCAGGGTTTTCGATTCTGATGCAGTGATGTCACTCTCTTCTGTGACTCACACTTCTTTGGCAAAGATTTTTTAGATTCCAGACTAAGTCAAGGTCGGACAGGTTTTCTCCTAGAAGTTTCTCGGTTGTTGGGTCACACATTTAAGTCGATGACCCATCGTTAGATTTTTAAATTTATCTCCATTTTGCAGATGGGGGGAGGTATGGCTCAAATTTTAGTGCCTTTTTTTTTTTTTTTTGCATAAATCCAATTTGCTGTAGAGACGATGCTTTCCTCCCTGGGTTGCCCGTGTGCCTTTGTCAGAAAATCAGCTGTCAATGTGTGGGTCTGCTTTCAAAGCCTGTTCTGTTCCACCCATCCATTTACACATCTTCATGACAGCACCACGCCGTCTGGATTACTGTGGCCTTTTGTATAAATTATTTTTCATTTTATTTTAAAGGCAGAGAGACAGAGAAACAGACACAAAGAGTTCACTCCCCGAATGCCCACACCAGCCAGGACTGGGCCAGGACAAAGCCAGGAGCCCAGAACCCAATCCAAGTTTCCCACACAGGTGGCGGGGACCCGAGTGCTTGAGCCATCACTCACTGCTCCCAGGACGTGCACTGGTAGGCAGCTGGATCAGAAGCAGAGGAGCCAGGACTCAACCCAGGCACGCTCTGACCCGGGGCGCAGGCCCCCCAAGCAGCCCCTGAACTGCTGTACCTGACACCTGCCCCGATTACTACAGTCCTAAAACTGGGTAGCATTTGCCCTTCAATTTTATTCTTCTTTCCCAAAACTTTGGGCTAATCTAGGCCGCTAACTTTTTATATGAATTTTAAAAGCAGTTTGTCAATTTTTTTAAAAAAAATATCAGCTAGGATTTTGATTGGGAGTATATTAAATCTACAGAACATTTTGGAGAAAATTGACAATACTGTCTTCTGACCCACAAACAAGGTATGTTTCTCCATTTAAGTTTAATTTCTCTCCGCAATGTTTGGTGGTTTTTAGAGTATGAATTTTGCAAATACTTTATCATATGTTTCCCTAAGTATTTATAAAAGTGCTTTTGTAAATCCTATTGTTACAAATTCCAACACTGAAATGTTTGTTGTTAGTAAATGGGAATATAATCAATTAAAAATACTGATCTTAAATTCAAAAATCTTATTAAACTTGCTGATTATTCTAGATGCTTTTTTTTTTTTAATTTGATCTTCTTTCTTTGGAAGGCAGAGGGAGACAAATGGTCATACAGAGAACTCCTGTCTGGTGGTTCAGTCCCCAGATGCCTGCGACAGCTGGGCCTGGGCCAGTCAAGACTGGGAGCCAGGAACTCGCTCTCGATTTCCTATGTATCTCCCAGGGACCTAACTCCTTGAGCCATCACGTGCTGCCTCCCAGGGTATGCATTAGCAGGAAGCTGGGACTAGGACTCAGGCACTTTGATATGGAATGTGGGTGTCCCACGTCGCATCTTAGTCACTAGGCCAAACACCCACCCCCATTCTAGTGGTCTCTCAGAGTCCCGAACACTCCCCTGCTTCTTTTGCCGCCTCTCTGAAGCCTGTGGAAGTCTCACCAGCACCCTCCGGCATCCTTGCCCAGGGCGAATCCCGCTCCTCCTTCCAGAAACCTTCTGATGCCAACCGCCCTGCTTCAAGCTCTCTCTCGTGTCTGCACCCTCAGCTGGCTGTGTCTTTCTTCCCAA